AAACTCATTAGCATAATAGGCCACACCCAACAGCAGCAACTCATTAGGATTGGCTACAATTAGGGGTGTGAGGCCTAACATGCAAAAAGCCCTGGGTTTTGACAACAAACAAGGTAAAGAGAATAAGAAGCAAAAGGTGAGCGTGGCTGGATGACCACACTTCTGGTAACACGGGGGTGTGGCCTAATATGCGATTGAGCTGTGCTGTCAGGGTGTGGCCTAAACTGCCTTCCCTTCCCTTCGTGGGGGGGGGGCTTGCCTGGGCAAGCCAAGGGAAGGCATGGGGGTATGGCCTAATACGCGAATGAGCTGCACCACCAGGGGTGTGGCCTAATATGCTAATGAGTTCCTGCTGTTGGGTATGGCCTATTATGCTAATGAGTTCCTGCTGGGCTTTTTCTACAAAAAAAGCCCTGATGAACACCAAAACCAACTGCAGGGAAAAGAGGCAACCGCAGCTGGTTACCTGGCTCACATGCATGCTTCTACACCAGTGGATTTCAAATTGTGTTCTGGGAAGTTCCATGTTTCCTCTGAGACTTATTAAGGGTTCCTCCATGTTAGATCAGCAATGGCACAGACGCTTCCCCCCAATACAGCATTGCCGGCATACCTTCACAGATGCTCCCATGCAATGTGTAGCTCGAAGGGAATGTTGAGTGTGTTCTTGGAACCCTAGAATGGTGAGTCGGCTGTTAGGGATCCAAGGAAGAGTGAAAGGTGAGGAACTACGGAGGTTCTGTTAGAAAGATAGGAAGACCCCGGAATGACAATGCCAGAGGGGTGTCTATACAGGATTAGAGGGGGATCGCAGCTTTGTGAGTCTGAAGCAAAAGAAGAAGGGGGAGAAGCACAAAACTGGCACAGAGAACAGGCTCCTCCACCACCAGAGATAAGCAACTATGACGGGCCTTTCATCAGAGGGGAAGGCTGCCAGCTGAGTCCGGTAATGACCACAGCTGCAGTCAAGGCTTTGAACTACAATTGTCCTGTGGTTAAAGCCATTTTTAATCAGTTAATAATACAGTTACTCAACTGCTCTGTGTAAAGAGAAAAGCTAATCTGAGATGATGTATGCTTATATCGCAAGAGGCATCACCTCGGAAGAGATATTCGGCTTTCTTCTTTTTTTCACCTCTTCTGAAATGGTGCTTGCCGTCTGTGGTTTTTATAAGGGATTACATAAGCACTTCTATTTACAATTAAAAAAAATAATTCAAGCTTCCACTTGGTTAATTGGGGACACATTGTTAGGTAGTTAACATTTTGTTTAAAAAAAATTCAAACTCTGTCCAGGTGGCAGCAATTTCTGTATGCAGAGCAGATAGAACCTTGGGGGAAAGATGGTTTAAACTGGGAAATGGGGTGGGGTGCTTTAAAAAAAACTTCCCTTATTGCTGTAGCCCCACTCTGATCTCCCCCCGCCCACAGCTGCTATTAACAATTGCTTATTCTGTTTTTAAAAAGAACTGGTAGCTCCAGGCCCAGATCTCCTGCCTACTTTGGCCCTGAATTTGAATTCAGCTGCTGGATTATAATTTCTATTGGGTTGAATCCTGTCATCTGCAAAAAGGAATGCAGATATTTTTGTTTTGCTTTCCACTCTCGCATTTCTTTCCTCCTTCCATAAAATAGATTCCTGGGATTGTGGGAATGACCCACTTCAGTTAATAGCCAGGCAGATGGCAGAGCTGCAGTGGGGAAAAGAAGGCAGTGAAATCACCCTTTCTGCCTCTTCTCTCAGCAGAATTGTGCTGAATGAACCATTTCATTCTTTCCCTTCTCTCCACCACTATCCCCTTGCCCATGATGATATTCTAAGTAGGCTTGCCATTTGCCTGCCAATGGTGGGTAAACACCCCCAAGAAATTGAGGAGCAGGAGACAAAATGGCTGGAATATGGTCTCCATAGTGACACTCGAATTTCCCCATGTCTCTGTGGTCTTGATTGCAGAGATTAGGGGGAACTCATAGGAGCTGCGGTGACTCAAGTGGTTAAGACGCTGAACTGCAGGCTGTGGAAGGTCGGTAGTTCAGCAGTTCGAGACCCAGGTGCCACATGATGGAGTGAGCTCCCGTCTCTAGTTCCAGCTCCTGCCAACCTAGCAGTTCAAAAGCAAGAAATTGCAAGTAGGTAAATAGGTACCACTTCAGTAACAGCGTTCCGTGCGCCTTGGTGTTTAGTCATGCCGGCCACATGACCACGGAAACGTCTTCGGACAGCACTGGCTCTTCGGCTTTGAAACGGAGATGAGCACCGCAACCCTAGAGTCGGATTCGACTGGCTTTCGAACAAGGGAACCTTTACCTTTATTTTTTACAAGAGCATTACCTGGAAGTGTTATCACATCCTGCCCAAATTCCACCCTCCCCAGGCACCACCCTCAAAATCTCACAGCATTTCTCAAGGCAGTGCTAGCTAATTCTGTGCAGGACGCACAACTCTGGGAATCTGCTCTCTGGGGTTGGAAGCGACTGCTGGGGAGAGACACATAGCAAAAATCTTTGCCTTCTGCTGGTGGTAGTAAAGATCCAACCCATTGCCTGGAGCAATTTATACATCTTCATGCATGTGTTTTGATACATGGCGAACTAATGCAAATATTTTAGTAACATCCATCACACAGAGTTTAATTATTGATTTACAAGTGAACTTAATGTACAAGAGCTTGCTTATGCAGATCAGGATTTCTTACTTCTAAAATAAAAAGAGACCGTGAAAACACCCAAAGATAGAATACGCTCCTTTCTTGTAGAAATCCATGCAGTATGTGCATGAGCACCTACCCAAGGAAAGGACAGAAATGAAAAATTATACCATGGTCTTACTTTACCCCACCTAGTCTAACGAGGAGGGGCTCCTTTCTTTCCAGCTGCCTAACCTACAAGAGACAGGTGTCCTGTTTATTCTGTTTAGAAAGGGCTATGTATTTATTTATTTATTTTGACTTATATTCTGCCCTCCCGGCAAGTGGGCTCAGGGCAGATCACAACAGCAGTATACAAAGCCATTAAAACAATATCAGGGCTCTTTTTGTAGAAAAAGCCCAGCAGGAACTCATTAGCATAATAGGCCACACCCAACAGCAGGTATTCATTTTCTTATTAGGGCACAACTTTTTTTTCTCATTAGCATATTAGGCCACACACCCCATGTTCACAGAAGTGTGGTCATCCAGCCACACCCACCTTTCGCTTCTTATTCTGTTTACCTCGTTTGTTGTCAAAACCCAGGGCTTTTTTTGTTGCAGGAACTCATTTGCATGTTAGGCCACACACCCTAATGTAGCCAGTCCAAATGAGTTTCTGCTGTTGGGTGTGGCCTATTACGCTAATGAGTTCCTGCTGGGTGTGGCCAACTCGGGAGCCACCCGGAACTCCATTCCTGTGCGTTCCTGCCCAAAAATAGCCCTGAAATAGTAATTAAATAGTTAAAACAATTAAAACAAAGGGGCAATAATGTAAGACAGATAGCACTATAAATAGAAATACAAGAAGA